CCCGCGCCGCTGGACACAGCCCAGCCTCTTCACAGCCCCGGCCCTGCAGCCCCATGGAGCGCAGGCAGGGCTGGCCATCCCCGCCGCTGCCCGCGTGTCTGATCTGCTTCGTTCTGTCAAAATATCGACCGCCGTTTCGGTAAGCGATCCCTTTAGCTCTGGTGAAGCAAGGCGAGGTGGTGGTAAGACGAGCTGTTTCGCAGACAGGTGCAGAGCGCTCTGCATCCCCTTTTATTTTCGGCACCTCCCATATTTGTTCGTTTTCTCATTCCAAGGAAATGCCACATCCTCCTCACTGGACTCTTTTTTTTTTTTTTTTTTCCCACCTTCTGAAGCCTTAAGGTCTCTTGTCTTTGCTTCCCCCTCAAAGAGCATCGCTTTTTGATACATCCCTGTGAAGGGCAGCCACAGCTCTTGGGGTCACTATTTACCCACAGCCTTGCTCGGCAGCGTGGGAAGAGCCTTTATTTACTTTAGTTCAAGGGGACCAGCTTTGGGCTTGAGCTTTAAATGGCTTCGCTACCAGCTGTCGGAGGTGTTTGAAGAGACTAAACCCCTGCCTCCCTGCAGACGTGCCAACGGATCATATGTACGGGAGAGGCAGGCAGGTAGAGATACTCAGGCAGTCTTCATCTTTGAAGACAATCTGGAGGCTTAGGAACTGGGAAGGTAAAGTTAAAAGAAGTATTTGAAGAAGAAATATTGTCTCTGATGCAGCGATGTTTTGGGATATCTGGGAGCATCGAGAGGCCACTGAACTGCCGACCCATGTTCGGTGCTGCTCCTACCGCCGGGATTTTATGGTGGCGAGCAGAGCAAGGCTTTCGTGGAGCTTCAGCATGCAGGGTCAAGCTTTCTTCAGGCAAAACGGACAAGATCAGGGAGAGGAGGGTGCTCAGAAGCGAATTCATGTGAAACCTCAAAAGGTGGAGGCAAAGCACAGGCTTGGGGCTAGCATTTCAGAAGACTCTGGCTTATTTTTCTTGATGGTGGTTTGAAGTGCCTCTGGCCAGCACACCAGCCTCAAACCAGGCACTGAAACCAGGTTGTGTCTCATATAGGCCAAGTTAAACCTGGAAACTAGGTTTTTCTTAGCTTCCAACCCAAATGACTAGAAATATTGTGAAGCTAGCTTATCTTGGAGATTTTGTGGTCTGAGGGACCACAAGAATAGTTTTTTTCTCCTCTGATGTATTGGCTTCTATTAACATTCCCAGCTGCAACCAAAGGAGGTAGAAATGTGAAAAAACAAACACCGTAATTGCAGCTCAGACAATCTGGAAGTTAAAAATCTATATACCTTTCTCCACACAAAAATGAATACATTTAAAATGGTTTATTTAAAAAGTAAGGATTAAGTACATTATACATGGTTGTGATTATACCAGTAGAACTGAAGCACAGTGGAAAGAACAGTTTAGAACTGCAGACAGAAATGTAACCTCAAGGGACATGATATATTAGCCCTCGTGGATATGTGATCCATACAGAAAGAAAAGGAAATACAAAAATAGTTTATCGTTAGATGTATGGGCATATGTCATGATTTCTCCTTTCACTCCTATTGTGTATGAGAAACTAGGAAGAGGGAGCTGACAATATACCTGAAACTTTGTTTCTCAGAAAATCGAATCTGATTCAGTAGCATTTTTTTTTTTTTAGGTCTGCTGTTACAGTATGTTACAGGGTAATACCGAAAGACCGATTATTGTTAATGATATGATGATGATATCTGCAGGCCTTGTTGAGAAATAGGGGCCAATTTGTGTTCAATGCTGTCCAGGGAAACCAGAGAGATGTGGAAGCACAGATGATTTTTTAATTTATTTTTTAACTATCACTGAGCGGTTTCAAAGTCTGAGTACAATTGAAATCTGTTCAGATAGACCAGCCATGGAGCAAGACACTGTTCATGGGCAGGAATCAAATTTTTCAGTTTTGTCAGAATCAAAGTTTTCCACAGGAAAAGACCAATTTTTGGAGGGTGTTTTTTTTTTATTTTAACTACAACTGTCAAACAAAACAATATTTTTTTTTGCTTTGGTTGAACAAATTACTGTGCTGCAATTTGACATAGACCATGAGTTTGAAATCGCAGCCACCATTCTCCCACAGGACGAAATCTCTGGTCCCTGTTATCTCCCCATGCCTTTGTTCCCTGTATCCCATGAGCATCCCATGAAGACTTCTCCGCTCCAGCTCCGTTTTTCAAAGGTGCCTGCTGGAGAAGGAGCAGATGCTCTGGCTCAGACCGAAGCAGGGCATCGTGCTCGGAGAGCCGCTGAAACCAGCCCTGCTCTGGGGGAGGAGGCTCTGGCAAAGAGGAACATCCCGAAACGCTTGGCGAGACTTTTTTTGCTGATGTGGTGTAAAAATACTGCACGTGCCTCTGCGGGTCTGACCCAGGCTGTAGAAAAGCCTTGGACTTTGGCTGGAATCAGATGGTTGGTTTTAAGCACATTCGCTGGAGAATGACGATTAACAGAACAAAACCAACGCGCGAAGCAAACCTCACACTGTCAACTTCCAGTTCAATGTACATGAGTTTAGAAAAACAGCCTATATCTAACTCCTGGTTTTAAAGGGAATGGTTTTATTCTTAATTACAGTAAACACGGATGAGGACTTATTTCTAACTATTAGTTTATTAACACAGTGGGAAACAAATAGTTCTGGGAAATTGCACTTGAAAAATACATTGACTATAATTAGATGTAAATTAATTAGCACTTAGTATGACACACTAATGAGACAGAAGGTTTTTTTTTTTCATTGCAAACTTCTACTTCTATCATAGCTAATCAAAGTATTTTAATATTACGAAGTCTCAAAAAGTAGGAAATAATTTATTGTTTGAAAGCATAAAGATTCTTGTAAAAAAAACCTTTCATCAAGAACTTTAATAATTTTAGAACTCTTTTATGTTGTCCTAGCCGAAAAGTAGGTAAAAAAGTTTTCTTGTCTGCCTCTGAATTTTTTTTAAAAAGCTTGTGTAACATCTTTCTCCATAGTGTGTTGATACAGAAAGTAGCACAACATTTTCTACTTTTAAATCGTTCCCATTGCTCCATTCGCTTTAGCTCTCAAAGTTCAGAGGTTTGAAAAAGGATCCCAGCAGAGTTTTAACCTGAATGGAAACTCTTAATAAGCAGGGATGAAGGCTCCAACCCACCTCCGCCAAAATAACAATGTCGCTCTGCCAGGCTGAGGGCGAGGCAGAGCTTAACAGCGATTAGGGGAAGACTTTCACTTAAGATTGAGAATTGTGTCTTGGTTCTCGCAAGGAGAGAGGCTTAAGCGGGGTTTACCTGGGGGGAGAGGGGGTTCAACTTGCTTTTTGGGATGTTAAGGCAGCTCCTCCGGGATTTCCCTGGAGGACTTGGTTCCACTAGCTGAAAGCCTCGTACCCAGAACACCACCAAGTCACTGACGCTGCGGCCATCGCAGGATAAATTAAGACTGAAAAGGTTTTAACAGTTTGGCTGAGATATCCCACCATCAGTGAGCCAAGCCTTCCAAATCATTATTTTTTTCTAGTCACCATTTCTCTTGTCTTCTAGTAGCAAAGATTTTCTGGGCAAAGACGACAGGTATATTCAAAGGAAAGTACAGGAATTAGATGCTCCTCTCTCACTGCACCTAATTCATCCAAGGGGAATCGGGTACCTCATTCTCATATGGCTTGGTCGGTTGGTCACTAAAATCAACATGAGTACTATTAAATTAAATTACTTTTGAGTCAGGCCCTCGAGCTCTGAGATTCCAAGCCTGAGTGTAAAAAATGAAAGCAGGAATTTAAAGAAAAAAAAAAAAATTCAGACTTTTTTTAGAAACATACAGAAGCAAATGGTACAAATTAGTCCTCCCCTTAGGTGATGCATAGAGTTTTCTGTGGGCTCTCTGCACGTAAGTGGATTCATCATTACAAAATAAATTAAATTATGTCAAACCATCATTTCCATCTATAAGCAACTATACCTTGCACCATGCGGCACTTATTCAGAATAAAAAGACTTTAATAAATATCTCATAAACGGTGATTATTTTTGTTCTATTTTAAAAAATACAAAGTTGTCATCCGTTCTGTTAACACTCAGTTCCCATTGCTGCAGGAAGTTTTGCTAGTCCAAGCGTATTATCTTCTCATTTTCTTACGCACATTGCTTAGATATCTTAGTTTCCAGTAGCGTTAGTGTTGCACTTGTGAAGCAGTAAGGAAAACAGGAACGCAGTCGCAGGCAACCAGCGGCTTCGCCTGCGCGGGCCACCCCGGCTCAGCTCTGCTTTTCGCTCTCGCTATAAGTAGTCTATAGGGGCTCCTGACAGACAGCACTCAGCACCTTGCCGGATCAGGCACTAGGGCTAGTCGAAATGAGAATTCAAGTTTTCTAAATGTTAGGCAAGAAATTATATTTGCAAATATGCTCAAGTCCCACCTCCTTTAATCCTCCCCTTTCTAGGTGTTTCAAGATGCAGCCACCCTCTTCTCCCCCACCTGCATTGCCCCCACGGATGCCTTACACCCACAAATGGGAGACCCCCTTACCACGCCATCAGGGAGTCTGTAATGCTAGTATGCAGGTGCTTTACGGTTTCAGTAGCACAGGTCCATTTTACAAAGTGTTGCCTTCAAAAATATTTTCTTTTTTTTTTTCTTTTTTTTTTTTTTTTTGAAAGAGGCAAAGCTTATGCTGTGTCAAAGGAAAGTGGCTCACTCGATGAGTAGTTCGCATTCATCCTTGGGCTTGGTTATAAATTATATTTGCAAGTTCATATGAAGGGATCTCAATATCAGGAAAAAAAAAAAAGTTGTACAACAATTTTTCTGTAATCCTTTAAAACACACTGGTGGCAAGTCCTTTGCAGTTTCTCCAAGTCTCTGTACACACTATAAAAGTGCAGGAACATGAACTGCCTTCATCTCATGACACCAAGAACTGAAAGAAACTAACTCCGAATAGCTTCAAAAAAAGCTACGAGCATGTAATATCTTTATGTTGGTCCAGAGGATCTCCACTTGCTACCTCAACACATGCCACAATTAAAGAGGTCAGAGGGTATTTTAACATCACTCCTTCTCTTTCATGACAGATCCATTCTTTTGTGAAATTTCTTCAGAAAGCTCAAAGAAGGTAGGTACTTCAAACAGGTGTTGTTCTCCTGTTGACCATGTTGACATGGAGTCCTTCCTTAAATTCCTTCTGAAGGAAGTTGTGAACCTGCAGAAAACTGGCTTCTTGGTCTGCGTTGTAGCTGGCAGCCGTTGTAACCTTCAAAGGCTCTCTGGAAAGGGTGTACATGGAAATTTCGTTCATGGGAATGGTGCTTGCTATCTTCATGCCAACTGGAGAAATGTCTCTAGATGGAGAAGGTTCTGTAGATCGAGAACTGGATCTGGACCTCCGCCTCCTGTACCTGTAACTTGGCATCCTGGCATAAGGAGAACTGGAAGAAGTCTTAAGGAATTCCCTCTTGGTCTTAAACCTCAGCTCTTTGTTCTTCTCAATATAAATGTTCACAGCCAGAACACCTATGGTTTCGGCCACAATAAAAGACAAGGCTCCAAAATAAAAAGACCAACCATAGTTGTAATGGTTCTTTTTGTCCTCATCTCGCTTGTCACTTGGGTCACCTGCATTGCTTGATATGTAGACAATGATCCCTATGATATTACTTAGTCCTAGAGGGAGAAAAACATAAATCAGTGGTTATGTGGCTAGGAAGGTAAAAGTCAAGCCATGTTACTTTCTGGACCTGAACAGTTCAAAGATTATGACCAGGGTATTTTACTACATTTATCTACTCTTTCATTTATCTCAATATTTCATTTATTCTTGAAAAACAAAGAATAGATCCACATCTGCGTCACATATGCTCGCACGGATCCCAAAATATTCAGCAATTGTTCCCATCTCTTCATTGCCATCCTGGGAAAGAAGTAACACATGGGAGCTTGCTAATATTGTTAGTGGGATTCTAACACTCAGACTAATAATAAAAATACATTTTGAGCTCAAGGCTATGGTTGTTCACCTTGATCAAGATGAGTTCTCTTCCACCTTGCTGAATTTTCATCTAAATGCAGCATGCTTAATCTGAGCTTCAGGGAAAGCTATTAACAATGTGGCTGACTCTCTCAGATGTTTCTAGTGTGAAAAACGGGCTCACCTATCATAGGTGAATTTTTTCTGCCATCATATAAAAGAAAAGAAAAAGGCTCTGGATGTAAGAGATGCCTGATGCGTCTAATGTTTAATAGATTTTAAATGGTGTAAAATCTGTTTATTACTGACTTCAGCTTCCTTTCTCAGGAAAATGAAAAGCTTCTCTAGAATATACTTATTGTAGAGCTTCAAAACCATATTTTTGTCTTAAGAAATTTGCTGAATGTAATCCTCGATCCAGGAAAGGGGTACAGGGAGAGAACTGCCAACAAGCTTTTCCACAGTCCTTTTCAGTTTGAAAAGGCAGCACTTCTTAAGGACTCAATTTAAGGAGAACATACCCGCTGCAACAAAGAGAATCCCAGCGCTGAGAATAATGTTGTTTTTGCTGTTGTAAATCCTTCCTGCTCCAACACAGAGTCCTCCCAGCAACAGCAATATTGTGCTTAGGATGGGGAACACACTGGAGGCACGGACAATGCCTGGAGGGGAGACAGGTAGAAAACCAAGACAGACAGTAATAATTTTAGATGCTTCCTCGGGTGCACGTGTGGAGATTACAAAGTCCAAAACCACTGACTTTTTCTGGAATTATCACTGATTCTGCATTTCTGGGCACATTTTTGGGAGCTGAGGCCATGGGTAGGTGGCCAATGTGGCACCCACACTCAACTAAGTAGCTTAAATCTTTTGAGCTTTCTCCTAGAGAGTCCAGCGTTATCGCCATTATCTGATGCCACAGCGAACAGAACATTTCTGGCAAAGCACGAGGTAAGTGACAGTAAGACCCAGCATCATGCAGGGAGCAGCAGTGAAAAATTCATGAGCTGGCTATGAACCCTACAACGTTTGGGGATGGCTTGAGCAGACGGATCTTGGTACACGCGCAAGGTGAGCAAATTACAGCTATTGAAGTCTGCAGCATTCGTGTTGCCAGCAAGCACAGCTAATAACCACTTTCTTTTGTTGAATATTAAGGACGCTGAAACCTTCCAGGTTTCTAAGGAAGAAATTTTAACAAGCGTCTCTCAGATGTTTGTGTTTAGTTTCCTGACAGCTAAGTAGAGTCATTTAAAATTCTGTATGCTTCAGTCCATTCACCAGCACGGGCTGTAAAATCCCTGAAAAAAAAATCTAAAACACCACTTCAAGCCAGCTTTCAAAGTCAGGTCACTACAAGACTAAGCAGCAATCGAAGGGGAAGCGGCAGGGAGGGAACAAAAAGGCTGAGAAAATATAAACAAGTACAAGAAGAGAGGTGTACGTATTGTAAAAACCAAAGGGGTAAAACCTGGTAGGTGTTCCTGAAAGGCAAAGAGAGGAACTGAGTTACGCTGCTATAGAGAGAGGCTTATTCTGAAGAAGGGGATATAAGGTGCTCAGTACTGCTGGGGAAAACAGGATTGCCCAAAAGCTGGGGACCGTGGAAAAGCAAAGGCGCGGAGGGGCGTCCCGGCAGCGGGAGCGGGTCCTGGGGTGTGGGGATGCCCAAGGCGAGTGGGGGTCAGAGGCTGCTGTCACAGAGGGGTGGAAACCCCACGGCACAGCGGGAGGACATGGGCACCCCTAGGGCTGAGTGCACAGAGAGGAGAAAACCGCCATCTGGGCCAATCTGCTGATGCGGTGCCATTAGCGATGCGGTCTCTCCCGGGTGCCATCTTCCTGGCTGCCACGCACAGCGAGCGGTGCCCGTTTCCCGAGGAGAAATGGCCAGATGTTACAGCTGATGCTTTCTCATTTCACTTTTGATGGCCGTGGCGTTCCCAATTTAGTGAATCGCTTCCTAACGATTCCCCTGGTAACCGGTGGCAAAACTCCCACTGCCTGCAGGAGGGACAGGACCGGGCATTTAATAACAGCCTCGCTTTTGTGTGCGCTGCAGAGCCCCCGGGAGCCCCAGCCATGGGCCCAGCCCTCATTAGGATGGTGCAAACATAAAACAAAAAAGACAGTCCCTGCCTGGGAAGCTTATGCCTGTATCGATCTGCAACAGCGAGAAAAGTCCATCTCCTACCAAAACTGGCAACGTCGCTGCACGTGTCTTTTACAGACGGTGCATTTTCTAACCGGATCTAAACCCAATTCAGTCGGATGCATTACTATTCAGACAGTGTCTTGCAATAATTAGCAAATCCAAGTAAGAAGGGTGTAAGGTCTCTAATCAAATCCTGTTGAGTGCTGAGAGCCTGTTCTGTTGTCCTGGGTGTATCGCCATGTGTGTGGTATGAAGTAACAGTGCTTTGACTATTGGGGCAGATTTTAGAGTAATTTATTAGAAAAAGATGCAATGTCAGTCCCTGTGCTGCTGGACATGAAGGCACCCCAAATCACTGCCTGTCTGTTACAGTCCTGGCACAAGGCAGCATGGGCTTAAAAATCTTCTGTGGCCCACCCCTTCTGGTTGTTGTTCCCTGTATTTCATGGTCATGCTGTTTACAATGATTTCAATTAAATCAAAGAGCTTTCCTAAAATGCTTCAGTGACATCATCAGAAGGAACTTGCCAGACATGCCAAATATAGAGGGTGGGTTGTTCTACTTGTAACAATAATCACAGAATGGTTTGGGTTGGAAGGGGCCTTAAAGATCATCTAGTTCCAAGCCCCCTCCTGTGGGCAGGGACATTGTCCACTAGACCAGGTTGCTCAAAGCCCCATCCAACCCAGTAATCTCCAGAGATAATTTTTCTATAGTAGGTAATTAACGTGAAGAGAAACAAAACACACAGTGTTCTCTTCCTGTAAAACTCTATCGTATATTTTTTCCTACAACGTGTACTTTTAGCTCTGAAATTTAAAAGGAAGCTCATAGGTACCATGTAGAATTTACATATGTCTCCTGATACTGGTAATAAAATGACAGCACATCAAAAAACATTAAGGCAATCTGGCTTTTGCTTTCTCCCCTGTTTATTTTCTTCTTGTTTACCGTCCTGTCTGTTTGCATCGGCTGTTCTGCACTGCTATGCGTTGTGACACCTCCTTCGGTGAAGCGCCGCAACGTGCCGTGCTGCTCCTCCCCACGGGGCTGCGAGCCCCCGCGCTCTGCTCGTGCTTTTATTCTCCTCTGAAAGGCAGGAGCCAAGCAAAGGGCTTTAAAAAAAGAGACGCCACAGCAAGCAGGGAAGAAGTGCATGGAAGTGTAGAGGTGCCCCTGAAACGGGGTCCCCGGACTCCCTCCTCATGGCGGCACTTTTGCACCGCAGCAGAGCCCTGACATCCTCACGTGTGCAGTGAGGATGAGCACGGCTGAAATCCTCTCTTCTGCAAAGGGAGAGGTGCATGTGCTTCGTGCAACGCTGGATGGGAGCAGCTTGGTTTCCGTGTGCCTGCAGAAACGTAGGAGAGGAGGGAAGCTGGAGCACACGTGTGCAGTCGGGCAATGCAGGCAGCCACCCTGGGGACTGCATGGGTTTACTGTGCACAGCAGTGATGCCTCTGCCACTTGCTGGGGCTCTGCACAGACATGTGAAGGGGATTTTTTTTAGACACACAGACTTGTGTGAGTTGTCACAGGGAAGGTTCAATAGGAGGGGTCTTGTCTGAGCTCCTCTGCACGTTAGTTGTCACTGTGGCTGTCGTTCACTTGGTTTTGCAGAGGGCAGCCTGAACGCTGAAGGGCAAAACCCAAACTCCTGCTCACACCTCAGACCAAAGTCTCCTAAAAATCAGTCATTTTTTTTTCATTGATTTCAACAGACTTTTGAACCAGGGCTCGATTCTGCTAGCACCATAATGTTTACATTTATCTGAAGCCTATATTCGACCGGTCACTGTGGAGCAGGCTGAGACCCCTCATGCTGCTTCTTTCAGGAGCACAAGATGCACGCAGCATTGATGCCTTTGTCTAAGCCAGATAGGAAAAATACGGGTTACTCCCGACACAGCCCTCTGAGAAACTTGTGCCAAGAAATGGCTAAAAAGCACGGTGAATGATACGGAGACAGCAGATTGCAAAGGTGTTGCGCAGAGGGCAAAAACGGGACGGGAAGTCTCATGTCTCCTTTGAAACAGGATGCAAATATCCTCTTGTCTTAGACAATGATTTGGTCCCTATTACATATACCTATGAGCTCATCTCTTCTGGATTTAGATACATAACCTTTCAGTAATCTCTAAATCAACCATATGCATTTTAAGTGGACCTGCAGTTTTTCTTCTAAGAGTTAAAGCAGAGGAGCCCTGTTATCTGTGCAGACTATGTGAGGATGAGCTCTCCTCTGCGGGGGGAGCAGCTGAAGACTGATTTTGTAGAAGACATAAAGGGTCAGACCAACTTGTTTTTAAGGTCTGTACTTAGTCACTTTTGAAAACAGCTTTTAGGAACACCTGTCACAAGCACATTTACAAACAATTCACCAATCTCATGTCTTACTGTGGAGCTGTAGACTATTTTTTCCTGTTCTCCCTTTTGTCCAAATAAAGAAGGCATAATACGCTTTTATCAAGATGCTACTTAATTCCTCTTTCCTTTACAGTCCTTTTACTAATGATGTTTCTTTCCTAACGCTGACTTGGCATCAATTTAACATTAGTTCCAAGGCTTTGTATGAAAGATAAATGCAGCTGTGCTCACACTCTGCTAGCCTGCCTTCGCCTAAGCACTGAAATCATGTCACCCAAGTTCTATGACTGATTTAAATTGACAAGAGTAAAGATGAAAAAACCCCTGGGTTTTCTGGTAAAGCATACTTTTTTGGAGATTTTTTTTCTTTATTCTTGTCTTAGCAGCTAGAATTTGTTTCCCAGAAGTGAGCAGAAGGGCAAAGTGGTTCTCTAAGTGGTGTTTCAAGTAATTAATAGCAATGTAATTGAGGACTGTTTTGCCTTGCCGGGTGTATCAGCCAGCAGCATCATTCATTGCTCCCTGAAGCTTTCCCAACACCTTGTGAACTGCAGTTTCTTTCTCTGGTAAAGGGCATTGCTTTCAGCTTGGCTGGTCAGCTCTTTTGTTCAAAAGGAATAACTAGGCAAGGCGTCCTCTGGGGAAGGGGAAATCTAACTCAAGCTTTGCAGGATTCATGAAGTTTCACACTTGGGTTCCAAGACTTCCTATCAGCTGAGCGAAGGGTCATCCGGAGGAGATGAAACAATTGCCCTTACTTCAAGCACCAGGTTGGTGGATGAAATGACTTCTGTGGCAGACTGCACACCGGCACAGAGCAGCAAGGGCTGGCTGTCCAGGCAGGGAAGCCACAGCCCACGTTCATGCTGAGATTTTGCAGGTAGCTGCAGAAATTTCAGCTTCCTTCCTACAATGCAGTAATTTCACTGCAGGGGAGGTGGCTCAGCAGCTGCAAAGGATGAAGCTTGCATAAGGGTTGGGTTTAAGCATTAGGAAAATCTTCCTAATGGGCTGGAACCCACTCCTCAAACCTCTTTTGATACACTAATCAGAGAAATACTCCCTCTGTAAAATATCCTCGCCAATCTGGGAATGATAGCTTTAGTTTTCATTTGAAAATTTTCCATATAATGTTTAGAGAATGGGCACCACAATCGTGAGCGTTCCCCTGGCTGAAGGAAACCCTTGGAATGGGGGTGCCTCAGGGTTAGGGTTGTGTCAGCTGCAGCGTGAACTGGACACATGTCACCACTGCTCTGTGCCACCCACCTTGGGCCAGGCTCTTGCAATGAGTAAGACTTGGCTTGCACTTGACAGAAGAGAAACCCAGGAAAGTCTCTCTGGCCATGTCTGCTAATTCTGTGTATTAGGTATCACTTTTCACTTACGGAGAAGGTATTCTGAGCTGTCATGGTCATAGTCGTTGTCTTCAGGGAAGTGGTTGATTCGGAAGCAATGTCCTTTGTAGATTCCTAAATGAAAACAAAACAAATAAAACACATAAGGACTAGAACCAGTTAAATGCACTTCTGCCAGCTCTGCTTTATTTCCTTTTCCTGCCAGGCTGTATAAGTAAATTATTCTCCTGTAGAGTTGGTCACTGTTTTTTTCTATGCCATCAAGAAACCATCTCAAAGGTCTTGAATTTTGGGTGGATTGGGCTGAAGCCTAGCTGAAGGAAGGTAGAGCCAGGATTCCTTGGCTTTTTTGCTTCCGTCTGCCACTTAACATTGTTCTCTTGAGTTTTTTTAATCTCTGTGCTTTACTTTATCAGTGCCGTGCTTATCTTACAAGCATACCGAGTTTGCAAACCTTCTTTTTGTTCCTAGAGTGACTGACACTCTGGGTCCCTGCTCCATGGATGGGGCTCCACAGCAAAGCCAAGTGCCAATCTAGTGCCCATCACCCCTCCTGCCTCGTCCCCAGTGAAGTGCTGGCTTCCCTTATCAGAGCAGGTAAATGTTGAACTGTCTGAGGCCTCTTCAATTACTCTCTAGGCTTGGAAAACAACTCCATAAATCTCTTCCCGCTGCAATTTAAACCCATATGTCCCCCTCAAGGTTGGCTCAGCTTTTAACGGCATATTTGTTTAGCTAACTGGGAGCCTGTGCAGTAAGTCAGGGTGCGAGTGTGCACTCCTGCTACCTGAAGGAACAATGCCAGAGTTGGCCAGACGAACCCCTCGCTCGACTGAACACCTTGAGGGTCAGCACTTTGTCCATCTGCGTAAACCTTTACATTAGTACGTTGTATCCTTGTCTATCAAGGTTACCGATAGCCACGTCCAATCTTAGAGGCGGTCGGGTAGCTGCGACCGCTGTCACGCAGCGAGCTGCACGGGGACCTCTCCCCAGAGAGCTCACTGCAGGAGCGAAGCCCCGAGGTGTGATTCCGCCTTGGTGCTCTCATCATTCATTAACCAGCGCTTTCGTGCTCAGGAACATACATCACCCAGGATGAGTTATCCTCTGCACAGGAGTTTTGGTGCTTACAGCTCGAGCTGGCAGAAGGATTTAAAAACCATCAGTTAATACTACTTTAACAGAAGCACAGCTGCAGCCTGTAGGATATAAATGTAGATTTATTTCACTACCTATTACCAATGATTACAAAGATCTCAAAAGAATTACTAATCCAGAGGATTTCAATTGCACCCTGTGAGTGTCAACTGCAGGTTTGCTACTACAGAGCATTTAATTCTTCCAGTAAATGACGTATCTACTCTAATTGTGGTAACGGCTCAGGCTTTCTCTGCACAGCACTTCAAAGGCCGTGAACAAGAAGCAAGTGCCTCACGTCACATCTGGAATTGACACACCTGTCCTGTCTGCCAGGTGGACCAGAGCACTTCAGCTGGGACTGCTCCTGCTAAGCACGCTTGCCTCTGCATCCCTCTGTTTGCCACCAGCTGGTTTGTTGCTCCTGATGATTCTCCAGCAAGGCAATCCAAAATTCAGATTTTAAAGATCCCAGTGCTTAATTTTATGGTGGTTCACGCAATGAAACTAAATCACTCCCAGCATAACAGGGCCTCTGAGACTGGATGGTCATTATGTTGTGCCAGTCTCTTCATTATGGTGTGCAAGTTTAGAGGAAATATATTCAGAGTATGGTTTTTCTCATTTCCTATTCATTAAGGAAAAAAATATCTAAATAATCTTCTCACCCTAATTTCCTATAGAAATCAGCTTTTCAATGACTCTGTGCTTGTGTGTGTATAGGTGGGGTCATCTCTCAGTCTGTGTGTACTTCTCCGATAACCTTTAAGGTAGTTGGTTGAATTTATCCAGAGCTGACACAAAAGCAAAAGTATCCCAGGTAACAGCTCCCACGGCTTCTGTGCAAACAGGTAGATGCTTGAAGGAGAGAGCTCTGTCCACCAAAGGCTGCTTTGTGAACTTGCACATTCACAGAGCATGGACACGGGTGACAGCCCCAATAAATGTCCCACTTCCAGAAACTCAGTTAAGAGACAAGAAGTCTGCAGGACTGAAATGTTCCCTGAGCCTCTTATGTTTGCAGCACTGATGGACGGCTTTGGCCTCTGTAAAATGGCCTTACGTTATTAAAGTTCTGAGTGAAATGGGCCCTGCAGCAAAACTTTCTCCTACGTGGAGGCCACGAAGCCATCCCTTCCACCGCAGGACTGCAATGCATTATCAGGACAGGATGGGCTGGGATTAGCAGTGCCTGGGCTTTTCCTCTTTTGTGGTTGGATAATTGCCCCCAAACAGATTTGGGGCCAAAGATAATTGACCCCAAACAGAAAATTCTAGATGAGCTTGAGAGTTCCTTTCTGTTTCCAGTTTTTAGGAATACTGAGATCCGTTATTCTGGACAACTTTTTATAGAAATAGCAAATGACTGTGAAAATTGGACTTGTATCAAAGCCTGGGAACCCAAAATATTCTTCCAAATATTTTTCCTGTAGTTCAGATCACAGATATTGGTTCAGGGTCCTCTCTAGTGTCTACGGTATTTGATAGCTAATAACAGCAGCAGACCGGATAAATTTTTTCCATAAACTTAACAGGTGTCATATAACTCAGCAGCAGCTTATTAAACTCTCAGTGAGGCTTGAAGTTGCTATCAAGAACTCTGGTGATCTACAGGGTATTGAAGGCTCTTTTCATCCACAAAGTATCAGAAACAAAGTCTTGCCAGGAAATGCAACAATAGCTTTTTTTTCATAATGATGGACTTTGAAACTCAAACTTGGGAAAATTCAAAACCAGCTGGGTGGAAGCTACTGAAGCAGTGGTCGGCTTTAAAAGCATGACAGCAGAGTCTGACTTGTTCTAAACCACAAAAAAAAATAAAAACAAAACAAAACTGAGATTTCATAAAATACCTGGCTCCATGCCCTAACATGTAAAGCAACGCAAAAGAATAAAAGCCATGAAAGAGAAGAGATGGCAGAAAAGGAAATACCTCAATAAAATTCTGTAACAACTGTTCTACAGCACCTGCACAAGGCCTGAACTCCTTGAAGCTCTTCTCAAAGGCTTCACAGAGGATGCCTTGAAGAAATGTGTAGGCAAACATGGCCACTGGTCCATGCTCAGTGAGGCACATATGGGCTGTGTTCCACACCAGGATGTGACGTAGAAGATAGATTTTTTTTTTTTTTATTTGCTTGAATATGAGGATAGAGTCCTTTATATACTTTGGAGAGGAAGATGGAACATTTAACTTGTACTTCTGTACTCACTAGAGATAGATAAATAAACTGCAATCACTGCCTAAGAGATACTAAAATATTGAGAAGCACTTCTGGATACCTCTTGAGAGTAAGATATAATATCCCACTGAGATGCTGTAAGTATTACTCCTTTCTTTGAATGATTACTGATATGTTTAAATGATGCTTTTAGAAACACAAATATTGTAATGCATTTTTTTCCTCATAATAATAATTTTGTTCTAAATTTTAGGCCAGGACTTCAGGATCTCGGTTAATGATAATGAAAAGACACATTTCCTGAAGTGTTGCTGATGATGTAAGAACATTTTTTGCCACTGGTTGCAGTGTACTTAGCTGGTATTTAAAAAGTAAAAATTGTTTCTGACTCAGTTTTACTCTATGTTCAAGGGCTTCTCCGACAAGGTTAGTACTTCCCAATCTCACTAAGTGTTGTTCAGATAACTATAATTAGAGTATGATGTGCTCAGATAATGTGATAAGGGAGGGAATTGTAGTGCCTAGGTGAAGATTAAGCTTTGTTTTGGGGTTTGAGATCTCAAAGTACATAGAGTTTTCAACAGTACATCAAAGTAATGGTCCCAAATTCTGATGACATACTACCTTCTCCTTGGCCTTTCTTAAATAATCCTTTAATAATCCTGCCTGTACCATCGCAGAATTGTTCACTAGGGTTTTGTGGGTTTTTTTGATGACGGAGAGCAATGGTTAATGCTGTAGGATGCAAATGCTTATTAATTTTGTTTGTGGCCATGAATTACATGATCACATTGGTGTTGGCCATACCATCAGCCATGTCTTAGAAGCAGCCATTTCCTCTGGTTACTATTTATCAATGACAACATTCCCTGATGCCCTGGAAGTGTTTGCACAAGTCAGCGCTGGAAGATAGAGCACTTAAATGTCTGACAATATTTGTCAAGGCAGGCTGTACTTTTGTTTTCTCCCCTCCCTAATCCTGTAAACTATGTACAACAAGATCTTTCCATAACATTAGTGTTCTGTTGTCATTTAAAATAGGTTTCCACCATGCAAGACGCTAGCAGCTTTGCAGCAAAGGACCTTGTCTGCGGGGTACTTCTGTCAATAGCAATTTTCGTCTCCTTGCTCTGAGCACAAGCTTACGGGAGGCGATATCTGATAGCAGTGGGAGACACATGAGGATAGATGGGTCGAGCTGCTGCCTCCTCCTCCATCTTCAGCTTCTGCAGAGCTATTGCTCGATTAACTATTTCATCTTCCAGCCCTCTCGCCTGCCCTTGTTGGTGAGATGATGCAGTAAAACATCGGGTTTTGGGACTTGGTTGAGAAGCCTTTCTTGTTTTCTTATGGGACACCAGACATTTGCAACCTCCTTGGATCAAAGTCTCCCCTGCCAACACACCACATTCTTGTAGGTCTTGCGCAGCTCCAGATACTTGGTGTGTGCACATGCACACTATTAATAGAGTTAAGCAGGGTTTTCTCCTGAGGGGTGGTTAAACTGATGGAATGCATGCTATGAATGTCAGCTGCAGAAGTGGTCGCATGGCTACAGCAACTACCTGCAGGCAGGTAAATACACCCCATAAATTCAGCCTAAAATCCCACTAACCACCTGATTTCTTTCTGGCAAATGTGGGTCTTCTGGGATGGTTTGAAGATGTGGAAGGAAATGATTTTTCAAGATCATTCAACAGCAAGTGCTTGCAAATACAGGGCGTGCAAGTTGCAAGGAGCTGACTGTATATTAAAAATAAGGCAATTAGTAAGGAACCATGGGAAATTTGGCCTGATGGTTCTGCTTGTTGCATCGATTCTGTGATTAAATGTTGTGCTTCAGTTCCAGAGCCAACCGTTAGCCTGATTTACTGCAACACTTGAATATCTGAATGTTTAAATGACAAGTTTTCTGAATATATCAGCACAGAGAATGCTGACTGACAGATAACATCACAGACAGCAAGAAAAGTGTGACACGTAGAGTGGGGCTGTTGTAACAGAAGTTGCCTGAACACAGTGTCCATCCGAGCATGCTGTGTGGTACTGGGTTTCCTTAATGGCATGGCTTTGCATGTCCTTTGGACAACAGTGGAGAATCTCTATTTATAGTAAGTGAGAGTGTGTTAGGGCTGGACTCTGCCAGGGGAGAAGAGAAACAGTTATATATATTTTTTTTTTTCCTTAGGAAGATTTCTCTGCTGACAAGTTCTGAAATCCTTTGCTGTGTGATTTGAGCAATAGTGAGCAAAGGAGATCAGACATGCCAAAAAATGTTCCTCTCCGCAAAATTTATAGCACGGAGTCTATCTGTGCACTGTGTTCATTTCTTTGATTTTCCACCAGTACAACTCCCCTGTCTCACTGGACTGACACACAACAGCAAATGCAGCTGCTGAGTTAACTTTCTGTTCTCTTCATTCCTCTCGTTATAAAATAACCCTTGAAAAGAGGAATGGGTGGTGAACCTCCTTTTACTTTCGAAACCTGCTTTGTGATGCTGATGGTCAAATAGGGACTATTATGGTCCTGAGCTCTCCA